AGAGAGAGAGAGAGAGACAGAGACAGAGACAGAGACAGAGACAGAGAGACAGAGAGACAGAGACAGAGACAGAGACAGAGACAGACAGACAGACAGAAAGACAAAGAGAGAGATAAAGAGAGAGGGAGGGAGCGAGGGAGAGGTGTGGGGGGGTGGTGGAATAAAGGACATTACGCCTTTTGTGAAGACCCACAAGGAGCCTTGTCGCGTTTCCCCGGTTAGATAGTCTAGATGTCTGTCTGGAAGCGCTTTCTTCTTGAGTATTTTTTTTTTTTGGTGTGTTTTTCATAGTATTTCCCCCCTCAAATTTCGACCCAGATTTGGTGGCACTGTAAAACCCCCTTGTTTTGCTTGTTATTCCGGTCGCTTGCCGAATGCTCACGGCCTGCGCTACTGACCAGTGGGTATTTTATCTTCCCTGCTCAAATGCTAAAGGAGTGGCGCCAGTCGACGGACATTCAATTTTGTCAGAGGCGTCTGCTTGGTGGGCCGAAAGGGTGATAAGTCATGCCCAGACTCCCCCCCACAAGCCTTTGACGTTGGTTTTTTTTTGTTTGTTTTTTTTTTCGTTTTTTTTCCCCCATTAGAATACACCCCAAGAATGGATGGGGATGATGGGATCAGACAAGGCTTTTGGTTCCGTTTCCTGCTCTTTTGTCCTTAATACTTTGTTTTCTTTGGACGTGGAGGTTGGGGGGGGGGAAGGAGGATTTGGAGGGACTGATTTAGTAGAATAATACTCATGGCTCAGGCTGGAGGGGGGAGGTTGTGATGGAGAGACAGATGAGATGAAATTAGGAGCATTAGAAACGGACTGACTAAACTGCGTAAAATCAACAGAAAACCTCGGTGTTTCTTGTATTGCTGGAACTGAAGGAAGATGAGAATAATTCTTATGGAGAAACAGAATGGGTTAAGGTGATGTAAATCAATGCAAGAGAAATAACCCCGGCAAGGAAGACCCAAGAAGAGTAGAAGATTTAAAAATATTAACAATCCACAGACTAGAAAAACAAAAAACATGACGCTAGTGAAGCTGGAGGTGGGGGGGGGGAGGGTTGGGGCGAAAAAAGGTAAAGACGTGGAGCCAGAACCAAAACGAGACGGAAGCCAGAAGACAAGAGCCTCAGGCCAGGAAGACCCACTAAGAACTTGACCTTCTTCTCTCCTGTGGAAAGGTTGCCTGTTGACAGGATCACTCTTATGTCTTGTGTGTGTGTGCGTGTGTGTGTGTGTGTGTGTGTGTGTGTGAGTGTGTGTGAGTGTGTGTGTGTGAATGTATGTGTGAGCGTGTGTTTGTGTGTGTGTGTGTGTGAGAGAGAGAGAGAGAGAGAGAGA